AAGGGTTGACCCTGAAGGAGTTGTATCGAAGGCCCTTCAGAAGGCGGGGGGTTCGTAAAATTTTCGAAATCGGTCCAACGTGAAAGTTGACCCTGGCTCAGGTTTCGGCGAAACATTGGTGAAAAGCTCGCTTTTAGGGGTAGTTTGATCCCCTGAATACGAATATCGTACCTACTTGCCACGGAAAAGCATAGCACCTGCACTACGGGCACCATGGGCACTCACAGACAAGTAGTGCTTAAACTTAAGAGGATCTGCTTGCAAACTCTTCGTAGATGTAGCGTCGGGCGACCGTTGATAAAATAACGGATTCAAAAAGGCTTTTCAGCCATGTTGAAAAAAAGCAAAACACCAAACCCCGAAGGACCGAACCCGCGACCCCTCACTTGAGAAGCAAGACCGCTACCAACTGCGCTACCGAAGCTCAAGCCATTTGTGGTTCGGTTCTTCTTTCGTGACTTTCACCAGTTTTGCTCCGCCCGCTATCGCGCGCATCACACGGCAGGCTTTAGCGAAACTGGAGGACCCATGGAATATCAGCATGAGGTACTCCATTAACCACCTCACTATTGAATGTGTTAGACCTTTCCCAGTTTCGCTGAAGTCCATCGAGAATACGCGTGATAACGTCTGGAGCTGAACTGGTATATTATCTCACAACTGTAAACATCCAGCATTCTTCTTGAATTCAGATAATTTAGCGGTGAATAGGATTGCTGTCAGTCTCAAAATGAAAATGAAATATGCCTATTTACATAAGTGAGGAGCTAAGGCTTATCATTTATTTACATTCACCATTATTTAGAACCCAGGAAAGCGGTTAATGAGTTTGGGCTTTCTTGATACTGCTTCAGAAACTCATCATTCAGAATGTGCACGTACCACTACAAATAGAATTTGTAAGTAGGGACGCTCTAGTGTCAACGCAAGCTGCGTAACGGAATCGACGACTTTTGCGTTCTGACGCGCCTTATCAGCCCTTATCAGTTGTAATCACTTTCATCACCCACCAACAATGTCCCCGTCCCACCCCACATAACACTTGTAAGTATGGTTGCTCTGGTGTCAACGCGAGCAGGTAACGGAATCGACGACTTTTGCGTTCTGACGCATCTTATCAGCCCTTATCAGTTGCTATCGCTTTCATCATGTACCACCAATGTCCCGGGACCACCCCACATAACACTTGTAAGTATAGACGCTCTAGTACCAATATGAACGACAAAACGAAATTGGCGATGCTCGCTTTCTAGCCCCTCTTATCAGCTATTATCAGTCGTTATCAGTTCCTATCACGTACCACTTGTGTCCCCATCCCACCCCCTATAACATATGTAAGAACCACTGCGCTATCATTACTGTGACTCGAGCTATGAATTTCCGGTCAAACACACACACACACACACACACACACACCAACAGACACACGCTAGCCGCTTATATATAGTAGGATGACTAACATGTATTCAAGAAGACACCAAAAAGCAAGGGTGGCAACAAAAACCCTCCGTAACTCCTTTCAGAGGAGTTTAGCAAATAACGAAAAAAAAAATTTGAGCTCATTGTCATGTTCCGTACAGAAATATGCACTTCATTTCATTTGACCGGGTTAGCCTAATGACCTTTCCTGCTCAGAAAGATGGCTTCAGTGGTCAATTCGGAGTCGGCAGATAAAGGAAAGATAAAGTGATTGTTAAGGTACAGATGAGACGCTGATACACTTGACCCCTCGAAAAGCAGTATCGAATTAGTTTATACTTTGACGCAGGTGCCACGTGGTTAACGTGAGATCCGCGCCTCCACAATCTCATTATTTTTCCTATTTCCGATCGGCTTTACTGAGTAGGTGTCAAGCCATTCAGTAGTAGTGGCAGTCAATCAATGTGGCTATAATTGATCTCATATTCCTCGGTTAGTCTCAGCTTTTTTGGTTCAAACAGCAATTTTGTCTGTTAATTTCTATCTTACCATTTTACCTACAGTGAGGTACTCGAAGTAAAAAATGCAAAGTTCACGCGAAAATCCGCGTTTTTTCGTTTTACTCTTATAACTCGGTTCAAAATTGAGCTTTTCAAAATCCGAAAATGATGTTGAAGTTCAGCTCGTCGAGTTCTATAAGCTTTCTAAAGTTTTCTAGAAGCACCATCTTGGATTGCGCCATGCACTCAATTTTCATCTCAAAAAGTAGTTGCTCGCATGTGATGTGTATATAATCCCGCTTATGCGGGCTGACCGCTACACACAAAGAAGGGTTCTCAAAACTTACCCCAGAATGCGCCACTATCCAACATCAATAGTATAATAGCTTAGATTTGACCTTGTTATTGGTAAGAGAGTAAAGTAGCCCGTGGATGGTAAACTCGACATCGAGTAAGCTCGTGTGAATCCTTGCATCAAAATGTACACCAAGTTTGGAATAGCGAAAATTTTGTGTGTTATTAGGTCGTGAAGAAAGTTCTTGCGCTTTTCGACCTTGATTTTCAAATGCCTGTATCTCGGCTCATTCGAAACCTTTTTGATTGGAGTAAAGACTGTTAGAATCCACAAACCTCTGCCAATAATAGCTGCGTTGAATCAGCCCGGTAGTGCAGAATACTGGAGCTCTAGAGACGATGAACCCGGCGGAGGTCGTTTCCGCATCATGTTGGTTTTTGAAGCATAACTCTTTGGAGAAGCTATCCAGGTAGTCGAGAAAGTGACAAATTATAGGCAAAAGGTCTACCGAGTAGGATGTTCGCAGGACTAATTCGTAGCCAATCTTGTCCAACTTCTGCAGGGTTGGTTGTGGAATGTGCGTCCGAGCTACCTGTCAGGGACGAGCCGGTTCCTTTATAATGAGGAATTTCGAGCATATGTGCCAGAGTTCTAGGAGTAGTTTGACACATTATCAGGAGTACTTTTTCCACATTAACAGATCCACCTGGTTACGAAAAGCTAGACCAGCCGCTGACCTTATGAAAGTCACCTCAACCTTCCTTCAGTGAAGTTTCACTTTTGCAAAGTTTGTAGAGCCTGATCGCGGTCGATCACTTCACCAAAGGTTCGTATTCTGTAGCAAAGAATCCGTTCTTTGTCGTGCGTCGCAAATGATCAAAAAGTCAGGTCGTTTTCATGGCATGAAACAAGCTAGAACGCGGCGAACGACCCTTCAAAATGGTGAGCTGTCGCGGCACGCCCTATTTGAATTTTTGGGACTTTCCAGCTCTTCCCGTACAACAAGAAAACACAATGCAAGTGCGATTAGTTTAGGAGGAACCCTCTCAATAGATTTGTGCAAACGTGCTTCAACCAGAACGTTCGACTAATCGTTGGCGTTGTCCAATCTCCGATCACCACCCTCACAATCTTTAGGGCTCTCGCTATTCTTACAAAAGCTTTTTGAACAATTGCTTCAGACCATATTTATTGCGAATCTCAGCCAAGTGCGTCTATAATATCTTGACCTGCTTCCTCTCCATACTGGCCTGCTTTGAGCTAGAAAAAGGAAATCATGCAAATTTGCTCTTGGAGTATGCCGTATTCAAGGCTTCAAAAAATGACAACTAAATAATAAGGAACATAGCTAGATAGAACAAGAAAAGCTCTTCAAAACCACATACAGCTCATTGGCAGCTTGCTTGAATTCGTAACAAAATAAAGCGTTCAAAAACGAAACACCGAAAAGCGCAAGAACTTTCTTCACGAGCTGATATATTAATGGAACGCCGTGTACCGAGTAGTTATTTAGCCACGCTTTCCGATTCTGCAATTTTTGGGTGCAACAGGTTCTGGCTCAGGTCAATGGGATGACCGCATTTGTATACGGTTTCCATAAATGAAAAGTAAGCTTCAAATCTTTGTAAAGCAAGAGATTAAACACGGGTGGCATATGATATGTTGATTGAGGTGTTGTAGAACCAAAAAGCCCACAATTTCTCGACACAACTCATCTCAGCTTCTTCTTCATTCCTTTATTTTGAATAGTATTCACAAATATGAAAATGAGCTCAAAGTTGTTGGCAAGATCTTATGAACATTCAGATCAGAACAATTCGTCATCCCGATCGGCAACATCCTTTCTTGGTAGTGTTTTCAGCAGTGGGATTGATAGAAAGGTCAACTCCTCCCACATCACCATTGCGAATATTAGCTGTTCCAGCCCGATAGATTTTAGTCAGCACTTGCGTGAAGGCTTTTTCAACATTTGTGCTGTCTAAGGCCGACGTTTCTGAAAAGAATGAATTCAACTCGAGTTCAAAGCAGGGGATATCAGAACAATGTTATAAGGTAGAAACGGATTCGGGAACATTTGCAGTTCCAAAGGGGATGCACGGGATTTCTCGGGAAGCAGAGCGAAAACAATGATCTACGACAGGATTTGTACCTATTTATGGGAGGCAGTGAAGGGGGTCATAAATGCGAGATCAGGAACGAGCACTGCCGTGCGGCAGCCAATCACTCCTTGTCACCAACGGTTTAAAATGATTTTACTTGGCGTAATGTGATCGCTATAAGAAACTGTATGCAATGAAAATTCAATTGGAAAGGGTATAGTGGAAGCTATGGCTTGTGTGTTGCATGACCGGAGGTGAATTGGGCAGAGAATATTCAGCGAAGTAGGCAGGAGGATCTGTGCAGTACTTGAATGCGGTATGTAGTTTATTTCTCGTACATGGGTTCTACCTTGTCGTGGTGTACGGGCTTGAGGCGAGGCCGGAAACCCGCAAGGGTAAGGTCCCGCCGAACCTTCTGACCGGCTCTCGTGACCAAAGAACCCGAAGTGCTCAAGCTCATGGTAGGACGGCGCCTTCCTTGAGCGACAGGAACGCCCAGCAAGGCTATCCTGTGAGACGAAAATGCTACGACCACTTCTGCCACGCCTTAGTCCCCTGCAGACTGTTCCTGCCCAGTCCGGTAGCGCTGGATCAGCACACAGTCGAAGGCGAAGAAATCTCAGGGCCGTAGGCTACCGTAGGAAAAGGACAAGAATGAGCCATCTGATTACATGCACTTACAATTGCAGGAGCGTCAGTACGGCCATTCAGCTCTCAACCTTAATTGAAAAACACAACAAGTTTCATATCACTCCCTCCAATCCTCCCTGATCTCCGCCTCCGCCGCCTGTGCTCCGCCCATTGGTGTGGATAACTTCCCGATGGATGCGTCATCAATCAAAGCATGATCTTTGCTGGAATGATAGCGCTATCGGTTTAACATGTGCAAACGACCTCTTAATTGGTTGCTAGCTCGTCCATTATCGGAGGTCAACGGGCAAAGAAAGGGGTCCCATTTTGCGCGTTCTTGACGGATTTCTTTGCTTTTTTCGCCACTAGGGCATTATTCAGCATCCCACTTCCACTATGAACCCAACCAAATCTCATCGTAATCCATCGCTTTGAATTATAATTTCTACCCAAGGTTAGTTGTAGTTTTCTGTTCCAGCCCTAGTAGTTTATCTACCTTGGTTGGGGCTTATTCACTACCAGTCGCTTTCTTGGAGTTGGAATGCGCGGCTGACGCCAGCATTCCTCCCATCCGTACACGTCGCATAGCACCCATCGACTCAGATCACCCCCCCCCACCCCGATTTTGTGTTCAATTCTTCACTGCGTACTCAGCACTGCATTAATACCGTGCCACCTTTCTCAGTTCTTGGAGCGATGGACTCCTCTGTTATCTGAGTACGTAAATCTCACAGAAGTGCATGTAGTGCTCATCTCTCTCACTACGTTTTCTTGCCATCATTCCACATCAGAAATCAATATCCGTTTTCATAGATGTGGAATGATGGCAAGAAAACGTAGTGAGAGAGGTGACACTACATGACACTTCTGTGAGATTTACGTACTCGAGGAGTCCATCGCTCCAAGAACTGAGAAAGGTGGCACGGTATTAATGCAGTGCTGAGTACGCAGTGAAGAAATTGAACACAAAATCGGGGTGGGGGGGGGTGATCTGAGTCGATGGGTGCTATACGACGTGTACGGATGGGAGGAATGCCCGGCGTAGCCGGGCGATGCGACTGGTATAATAGTAATCGCCCAATCAATATTGTGATTCCCAACCTCATTCGAGCCCTCTGCGCAAAAACCGATATTTTCAATCGATATCGATCGATAGCATCGTGACCCGATGGAATTTCGACTTTTACCACAGCGCCCAATCAATATTGTGATTCCCAACCTAATTCGAGCCCTCTGCGCAAAAACCGATATTCCCCGCAGAGATTTCGGTGCAGGCCCCGCCCCTCAGCTGGACAAACAAACACACCAAACTACTGTTTTATATATAGAGGGGAAACTGACATATCCTCTACGACTCATACCGAGATTCATTGAGATTCGCACATAGAAACTGTTTTGAATTATAATTTCACCCAAGAACTGGATGGAGCAAGAACTGGATGCACGAACTGGATGAGGTGGTATTCAAATTCCCGCAAAGGAGAGCTGTAGCCCCTGAGGGTCCTTTACTTGACGACTGAAAATAATGAGGCAAAAAGTACAGCTGGGATGTAATGATGAAAAATGTGCTGATGAACAGCGAATGCCATGCCTCTTTCTACTCAATATTGCGTTCAGAGGCACCGCTACCAAATTCGGACTAAACTGAAAAAAGTGCTCACCGATAAACGTGAGACCGTGGTCATCAGCAAACTTCTTCGCCATTTCCTGTGGAATCTTCCGCGTATCTCTCAGGTCAGTCTTGTTACCGACTAGCACCACTGACACTCGTTCTGACTGCTCTCGTAGGTCGCTCAGCCATTGCTGACATGAATCGAACGAACTCGGCTTCGCTGAACATTGTGGTCTGTTTACACTATAAAAAGTGTGAAATTGAGCAGCTGTATTGACAGTGACTAACGAAAGGTGAATTCGGACCCAGACCTGTGAAAACGAAACAACTCCAGAACGACATGGATGATAACCTGACGTATAGTAACGTAGTGCTATGACATGACTCTCTTACTCCAAAGGAATCCTTCCCGGAAAATTCTTGCATTCTTTCCCAACATGAATATGTCAGTTGTGATCACTAGAGACAACATACAAAGTTTCACGCACGAAGATTCGGTTTCCGAAGAGAAACAAACTTACGAAAACCACACTCTATGGACAGTCGAAGGTAGGTGGCGCGGAGCCAAAGGCGGGGCATGGAAAGAAGTGCGCTTGGGCGGCTACGTATCAGGCGACGCAATGAAAGAATCGGGTTAAAGCGTGCGATTTGGAGAATAGAGACAAATCGATCGATAGAATAGGATGCAGTAGAAGTGTGAGATGTTAATGCAATAAGTCAAAAGGTCAGAAAGAGTTTCTAGTGACAGCACTCCGTGAACCAAGTGGAAGCGTTCCCGCCGCCAGCATTTGTGACAGATGTCCGGCGGGAATTTGAACGCGTAGCAGTCCTTCCGTTTTTCGAATTGTTTACCAAAACAAATGCAATTTTTTTGTTCTTTTCGTTCTTATCGTGAATGATGGGTCTCAAGCCAGTGATTATGGGTGAAATAAAATCACGATTTTTCCGAGGGGGATTCCTTGGAGAAATCACACAATTATTATACTCTTTGCGACTGTCTGGTGGCACTACTATCTTGCGCATTTTTTAGTGAAACAGTTCTTTTGAATACCTAGATGAGCCCTCAAATGATAGCCGATCTAAGGGAACACCAATTAGTGAAATTCTTCCTCTATCGAGTCCATCACTTACTTCGTTTTGGGTTCATAACCCCCATGAAATTCTTCTACTGAGATCTTACCCTTTAGCAAATTTTTGTTGCTGCGCTCTTGCTTGGCGCAATAAGCCATCACAGAGGACGGCAACTATCTAACATATTGGACGTTTTTGATTTCGACGTGCTTCACAGTCGTTCACACTTATTTCCCAGCGGGCAGGAGTTTCCTACCTAAATCCTGAGAATACAGTGCATTCTGGTCTCCGCTCACACGGGTACTGTAACTGCTTACATGTTGTCACAGCAGAGTCAACCCTGCGTTGCGCAGTTCGCAACGGCACGTTGAGAGATCCTCAACGCACGCTGTATGGGCGGAGACACAGACGGCTCGAGCATGCGAGTGTGAATGTTCGCGCGAGAGAACGTGTCTAATCGGGCGAAACTGCGCAACGTGGCCGTTGAGAACTGCGCAACGCAGGGTTGACTCTGGTCACAGAAGATCCCTAATGCGAATAGAATACCATTCATGAGAGGAAAAAACGAATGCTTAGTACTTCCATCCATGGTCACGCTATCACGCTTAACTCATTCAAGGGTATGAAATTAAATGTGCCTTTGGTCAAGCAAGGCCAACGACCAAGTAAGGAAAACGCAAATGGGCATCATGTAACATATTTGGAGAAGATTTTCTTCTCCTAAATCATCCTCGTTTAGTTAGAGGCCCTACTGCTCTGAAAAATGGCTTGCTAAGAGAAACATGCAATCGGTGTCGTCGTCTCCATTATTCATTACATACAGTAGCGGTCAAAAGTTTGGAAACTTTTTATTTTTGATCTAGCGCGGCCGACACACAACGAAATTGTCCCAAATTTAGATATTCCATACAAAATCAAGTTCAGAATACGACGGGAAGAACAATTTCCAAAAACCTATAATCATATTTGAGAAATAAGATTTTTTTTCAAGTAATGGCGCGTCAAAAGTTTGGAAACTTTTTGTTTCCCTTATCATTATGATTCCTACTCTTCAATGTTTACTTGTTTCTGTTAATTTAGTTCAACCATTGAGTAATGTGTAATTTCAAAATGAATTCATATGCAAAGGAAGCAGTTTTTCCATGGGAGGTCCTTTTTTAAACCCTACAATCCGGAATACGAAATTGAAATTGTTTCTTAGTAGTTCAGTCTCTACGGAAGCAATATTATCGAATGTTTCTAGCGTTATTGGAGTCGAGTAAGCATAAGAAGAATGATCATTCACAAAAAAGTATCTCACAAGAAATTGGCCCTCCTCAAATACTTCGAAGGGTGGTTGGCACGTCCCGTACCCCCGACATTCCCAACTAAGAGACAACTTTTTCTGGTTTTTTCCTAATCATATGAAAGTCCAAGTGCAGCCCAACATCGGCCGCGACCTGGTGAATATTACGGATGATGTCCCAACAAGAAGCCATTGTTGGGCTTCAAGAGCAGGATGGCCCAACTGGCTTCCGCACTCTAACGGCTAACATGACCGAAGCAAGAGGTGAAACTTTGTCCTCAGCGACGAATGAGATTTCTTCCTAGAAATAAT